CTTATGCTGTCGTAAATAAAAGTATTCCAGGGTCACCAGGGTCTGCGGCATAAACAGGGGCACAAATACTGCCTGGAAAAGTGCCAGAGTGGTTTAAACATATAGGAAGATAATTTTAATGGTACTTTGCTTTCACTGTTATCGTCGGAAGGACTGATGAAGGTTAACACATAACTATAACCTTGTCACAAAAGCAAAGCAGAAAAAGTCTTAGCTATTGGTAATACTAACAGAGTAGGGAAAACCATATCATAGCCCTTCTGACCAGTATTTTCCAGCTCAGTCAGAGCAGTGTTCCTTTCCCATTGTATCTCTCTCACACATTCAGCAGTGAAATCTAATTGTATATTCATTCTGGGGCAGCTTTATTGAATTCATGAGCAGAGCACACGAGAGCTCAGGAAAACCAGTTGATGTTGTAAAATGCTGTGTCATAGGCTACCTGATGATGCAGTGAATGTTCCCTGATTCTCCAGATACATTCCACCCACAGCCCAGGAGCAATCCCGGGAAATTGGCCTTTTCCTTGGAGAGGAGACACCTTTGAACAAGATCCCGGCTGAGGGAAGGAGCCTGTGTGCCCTTTGCTGCTTCTGTCCGACGGTGATGGGCAACAACTCCATGCAGGACCAAGAGCCAGCACAGACACTGTTTCAAAGGAGAAATCCAGAGGCCAGCAACAGAGAGGGTTTGGGATGTGTCAGTTCATGTGAGTTTTCAGGAGCAAAGCAGGCAGTTACTGTTTCTGGTGGGTTCTTAACTGTTCAATGGACTGCTCAATGGCATTAAATGGGCCATGCCGTGAAGCTGCCTTGGGCAGTATCAGATCAAGGATACACGCTTTTCTCTTTGTATTTTTAATACCCACACAAGCATTTAGAGCACAGGCAGTCACTTTAAATAAAACTACAGCGATTGTAAATGCCACAGCTTGCTTATTTACTTACTGTCTCTTAGTCTGCCCAAAATGTGGAAATAATGTTTCCAGAGATGCTGGAATTCATGTGCCTGTTGAGAATCCTGGCTCCTGTCCTGGATGATATTGCATATTCAAGGGATGATTCACTCACTCCTGAGAGGGAGGATGGACTGTACCAGCTGTACCACCTCTCCGTGGCTGACTGACAGCCTGGTGATGTTTCCACAAGGAAGCCTCATGCCTCCAGGTTAAGCCAGCAATTATGGAGCAAACAAAAGAGAAGTGAAATGGAGAGATGAATCACAGAGAGACCAAACAAAAGAGAATTGGAAAGGTGATGCCAAGCCAGACTGACAACAAAATTTTCATTTTTCTCAGCCCAAAATATATAGACAGGATTCTGCATTTCTTTTTTGTGTAGATTAACAATGTCCTTCGCCATCTGCAAGGGAGGATTCGGGAGGGACCAGCTCAGCTTTCAGGGTTTTGCCACCCCACTCCTGTGAAAGGGTGGTAAAACCTACAGCCAGCAGCCCTCAGTTGAACATGAGTAAGACCCAACCTTAACACCCTTGACTGCTCCATAAAATGACTTATAAGTTCAAGAAATAGGTTTACCCCTTTTGTGTTCTAATTATTTTAAAAATTTCATCACTGTTGGGACAGGAACTGTGTGGGATACGGGGCTGATACCATACACACCTTGCCACAGATTTATCACAGAAGGGCTGGCCAAGGCTTTGAAGGCAGCTGACGGCTCCCAGCTGGCCAGGAACTCACTCGCGTGGCCTCTGCCGCTTCCTAATGGGAACAGGGTGGAAAAGCTGGGCTCAAAGGTTGCCCAGAATGACTAAGAGAAAAAAAATTCCTCCTGCCACTCCTGTGCTAATCAAAGGGGTGTGGAGAAGAAGTTTCGATTCCTCGTGTCCTGCACTGCCAAACAGGAAAAAAGATAAATATATATATATATATATATATATAAATTACACAGCCAATTTCTATATTAAGGAGGAAGGCTTCATGCCATCAAAATCAGCCTTGAAATTAATCTTGCTTGTGGTATATGGAAACTGAGCCAGATAGTCCAAGCTCCCTTAAAGCGTTTTTCAAACACACCTAATCTGTTTACTCCGAGCTTTTACTGCTGGTGTTACCTGGGACTTCGCCTCTGAGATTTCCTACAGTTTGTGATCTTAGCAGGTCAAAGTTTCCAAAGGTGGGGAGAAGAGGCAATCCCTTTCCCTGCCTGTACAAAAGGTATGTGCCTCCGAGCTACTAATTTAGAACCAATGAATCAGAAATAAGTAACATAAAAACTGTCTAACGCTGGTGTTTACAGAGCACCTCCTCTGAGCAGACAAAAGCGTGTGTCAACAGGGAAACTGCCATGTAGAGCTTGCATGGCAAGCGGCTCAGTGTATTTAAACAGCTTTTGCAGAGATGTTAACACGTTGCTAGGGAAGCAGGAGCCCTCATGGATAAAGGTGCCCTCCTGCTCCAAGACCCGCCATCCGCACAATGGGAAAATGGAGCTGCCCCGGCACTCACTGCATTCTGTTTTCATCTTTGCAGCTTAAAAAAAGGCAGAAAAGGCAGTTCTTCCAGCAACTGATTAATGGTCCTTCTGCAGAAACTGCATTTTGCACATATTTAGAAATCTTGAGCTAGATAACACTTTGACCTAAAATATAAAAGGTTCATTTTTTCTTTTCTGATAGTGTCTGACATTTGTACGTTTTAATACCTTATTTTTGAAAAAGATCTTCTCTAACTTGAAGAACAAAGTGGCCGGGCTGTGGCTCTGGATGCATGTGCACCCCCTGCACGTGTGTGGCTAGTGGGTGCTCCGAGCACGTCGCTAGACCAGCTCTGGGACACACTGACACATCTCAGACCACCAGGAAAGACGTCCCAGTCTGGCACCAAGAGGCCCAGGAAACATGCCCGGCACAACTCCCATTCCCATGGTGTGTGGTCCCTGGGGTAATCGGTGTCATCCCCTGCCTGTGAACCATTCCCCAAATTTTATCTTCCCCAGAATGCTCCATGTGTGTGTGATATGAGACTGGGTTATATTAAGCCCACTGCTCAAAGGACCAGAGACGATGGGTCCCATGGGCACATAGCAACTACGCTACAGAGAGAGTGAAAAATTCAGGGAACAAGTGGCACTGTAATCTATCTTACCTACCCGGAATAGATCTATCCATGTACTGATCTCTATAAACACACCCTTTTCTCCATATGGGTGGGTATATATTTATATGTACCAGCCTCAAAATACCAATAAGTTTTTATTAGCCCCCTTTGCAGATGGGGTGATGATGACAGACAAAGTGCTCTGATCCCTCTGGGCTGCTCCTCCTTGGGAGGGCAGAGTTGGGGTCTTCTCTCTCTAGGTGAGGGAAGAGAGGGAGGTGAATTTTCCCAAATCCCAAATAGCTCCTTGGTGCGGCGATCTTGCTCAGCTCTCACTTTGAATCGTGCTGGCAAATAAACATGAAAGTGAAAACGGTATTGTGAGATGGTTATGCAAGAGCGGGCGGATCCCGGGACTGAACCATTGTTCCAAACGTTTAATTAACATTATGAAAGCTGATTAAAGGAAAATCTTTAACCTCCAGGGAAATCCCATTTTCCCTCACTTCCCATACCGCTGTAATTTTCACAATGTAAGAAGGAAAGTGTTATTGCAAGGCATGATTCATATCAGCTACAACCTGATCTTTGCCACAGCCATGTCCTGCAGCTTAAATAATTGCCAGCGGTGACACCAGACAGGGACACTTCTGAGACAGCATTTTTCCCCCGTTATCCCATGACCTGAATTGCCATCATAATTTCTAGACTTTGTGTCATCCTGGCATGATGACAAGTGTTCACCCACGCTCCAGAACTAAGAGTTAGTTCACGAGGACAGTGATACCTACCCAGACACAGCATCTCAGATACAAAGTGCGAATGACACGCCACAGTCCGGCGTGGTAACAGCAGGGACTGTTTGCTTTGGTCACTGCAGCAAATTCCTTTGAAGGCAGGAAACTGGAGCACCATCTCCAGTGACTCCCCATCTAACCTTGAGCAAACCACTTACCCTTTCTCCTCTTTTGGAAGTGGGGATAAAGGCAGTGTTACCTCTCTCTCTGCAAACAATAACGAACATAACCAGGCACTGGAGATGTTTAGGTGGAAATTGCTATTGTAAATTATGGTAGTTTTCAGCTGTGGCGGGTCTGTGAGGAAGCACAGCCCCCTAGTACTCAGCTGTGTATGGGTGGCACACTGCCTCTCTGCTCTTCTAGGACTATTTTAATTATATGTCACAGCCAGCCCATCAGAGACCTAATCCCAGGATCTAATCTTGGAGGCAACAGACAGCTGACTGTCTGCACAGTGTACTCAGAGAAGCACCCCTGAGGCTGCGGTGGGGGCGATGCACCCACCCCACATGCAGAGTGGGCACCTGCCCAGGGACAGCCCTGATCATCCACCTGGTCAGGGCACCACAAGCTCCTCTCTGACAGGGATGGCTCGTGACTGTCATCAGGGACACACCATGGCCCTGGGTCCTCCCCTGTTTAACAAGAGCCTGGGTGGAGGCTGCGTCTACAGACACCCAAATCTAATTCTTGAGAAAACACATGGCTGAAGTCCTTTCCAAGCATCAGGCTTATATAAATACATACACATATAAATACATGATAAAAATACAGCCTCTGGCAGCAGGAACAGTCTCGTATGCAGATCTTCAATAGTTATTCCCATCTGTAGATCCTGCAGGATAAAGACATTGTAGAACTTCAGGGATCATTCTGAAAATGGAAACGATTATTTTTTTCCACTGTTGTCTATGTGTACCTGATGCAAAAACTATTTTAATTATGATACAACAAGATCATACTCAGTACTCTGACTATGAAGAATAGGCATCATTTTTGTGCAAATAGAGACATTAGTAAAGTAGAAGCTTTACTTACAGCATGAAATTCCTCCTTCAAAAAGCACTAGAGGTAAACCAAATTCACACAGTGAATACCAAATGTATGAAATTCTGACTCAATGAAAGGCAGACAGCTGGGTATTCTGATAAAAAATGGGCCTTTATTTTTTAAATTCTTCTTTTCATTACCTGGATTCTGTGTTCATCAGAGCAACAAAATATAGTTTCTTTGATATGCGGCAAATCTGAAAACAATCCTGCAAACAGCACAACACAAAAACTCCCACAAAAAGGGAAAGCTATAAAATTTGAGAGGCGACGAGGCTTTCAGAAGTGCCAGTTTCCCAGTGCAATGGCTGGAAGGGTGGCCTGGCCTGGCGGCAGTTCAATCATTTTGTAATGAAGGACAAATACTTTCAACATCCTGAGAAAGAGGGCGGGGGGACGGGGGCACGGCTGCCTTGCTTTCCCTCCTCCTGCTATTCTTTCTCCTCCCTCCCCCTACCCCTTGGATTTTCAATAGCTCTTTAGTGTTTCCATCAAAGGCTTTTACCATTCATCCTCCCTTCTGGTGCCTGCCTTCCACCTGTCTATCCATCACAGCCCTAACCCAGGTCCTTTTTTTCCCCCGGCTTTGCTATTTTTCACGCGGGGGGATTTGTTTATAAGCTTCTGTATTACCTAAACTGGAGGGGAAGAGGCTGCTGGGAGAAAAGTGAGAAAGCAGGATTAAGGAGGAATAATTCAGCTCCGTTGCATTTCCATCTGAACGGTCATAAAATGTGCAAATCCTGTTCCTGGGAATTTCATGTCAGAGGCCTTCTCTGCCACTGCCCTTCCCGTGCCCCTTCTCTCTTTCCCTCTCACGCAAAAACAAGTGTGGGGAAAGATGCCTAGAACTCCACGGACACCAAAAAGCCACAATGTGTGTGTTGGCAGGGTGGAGGCTCCTACCAGCACGTGTGCAGGGAGACACTCCAGATGTGGCCATAAACCACAGACAAGGGGGTGGGAGGCTGCAGGGATTGAATCGGGCAGGACAACAGGAGCAAGCAGGGAAAGGCAGCTCCCAACACCCCCAGCTATAATTAATGAGCCTGGGTAAAACACAAAAATGACCTTTCAGGCTTGTTCGCTCTGTAAGAAAATCATACAGAAATGCATGATTCAGACCCCTGCAACTTGAAGAGTTTCTACTCTCTCCTTTTTAGCTCGTCACCATCACAAGGCACCAAAATAGACACAGGCCAGCTTTCCAGACCCCAAAGATCCACAAAAAATCCACCTGCCATCAAACTGTGAGACAGAAGAAGGACCACTGCTGTATACAGGTCAATGCAGATTTGCCATTGATTCAAGCAGAGGTCAGTGTGGCTGGATGTGGCCTCTGTGCACACCTGCTACCTGAGCAAACACTCTCAGAACAGCAAGTTGTGCTAAAAAAGGAGATGGCCCTTAACCTGTCCCCAACCCTAGTGAGCCCACAAACCTTTTTTTGGTGGAAATCCATGTAATATCTGCTGGACCTGGCAACAGCTGGCAGTTTTCTTCCATTTATGGACACATCCCAGACATACTGAGGATCACCCAACAGGTAGCACATGTCAAAATAAGTTCTTTTGATTGATAACTATTTATTATTTTTAAATAAAATGAGAATAGATTGAGTGGGTTGCCCATCAGCAGCTCAGTTCTTTGTTTGGCAACTTCTTGGACAGTTTGACCATACATATGACAACACAAAATAAATTTCACTCACTTGCAGTAGCAGTTGGCTATAAATTCAGTCCATTGATGATTTATAGTTCTAGCAGCAGTAGGATATATGAAATGAGAAGCCCTTTCATCCTTAAAGTGCAGTCTGGTGGGGATGATGAAAGCCATTGTTCCTAAGGCCAGAGGAGAGCAGGAGTCCATTCAGCCGGTCCGGCTGTGGCTGGAGGAGATGTGCAAACTGGGTCCAAGGACGAGAGGAGGCCTAGAGAAAGAGCAGCCCTTGATTTTGCAGAACAGCCAAAAAGAAATCCTTAATGATGCTATCCTTGCTTTGCAGGCTGGAGGGGAGCAGTATTTCCATCAACTAAATGATCTCAACTCTTTGGCTTCCCTGAGGGCACTACAACAGGACAGACTGCGATTGCTCACCAGAGTCAGATGTTTGTGTTCTTCCCACCCACCAGCAGCCTCGAACCTGAGCATGTCTTTGGCACAGCAGGTGGTATCCTTAATCCTGTGGAGGGCCAGCCCCAAGCAAAGATTAGCAGAAGAATTTGTTTTCATTAAAATCCAACCTACCATTACCATCCTCTCTGAGGGTTTGGGTTTAAAATGCACATGTCCAGCTATTCTAGCAGCTCTGTTTCTGCAGGGAAAGGGCAGTTCAGCAACCTGCCTCTTCACTTTCTACTGTCTTTCTTTTAATCAACAAGTAAATAAGGCAGACACAGTGAGGAATATTAAATGCACCTCCTCCTGGAGAATTCTGTCAGCAAGATCAATGGAATTGGGATTTTGCCTTCATTATGTTTCTTTTGTCCTTGGAACTGGTCTGATTTTCCTCCCAGTGACATTTTTTTTTACGGAAAAAACCCCCCAGAAACAACAAAAGAGAAAGAGACATACAAATAAACACTAATAAGTGTAGGAAAAAATATAAAACTTAGCACCACACACTCCCCTCATTATTAGACAAAGGTTGGGAAGGGTTCAGAAGTGTAAAACGCTCATGTGAATTATGAGATTACTGCTCAGTTTTCTTTCAAGTCGTGGGCTGGAAACAGATGGTGGCTGTAGCATTTATGACGGCACAACATGTTACTGCAAGCCTAGCCATCTCTCTCTCTCCTCTCAAAAATGCAGCTGCAAGGAAAGTTGTGGAAAATCACATTAATAGTCCCTTCCACCACAGTTTTCCAGCCCTTCATCCCTGGCCAGCACATGGACAGAGCCATCCTGTATCCTAGCAAGAATACTCTTCTAATCCCTGTCCTGAATAGTTACCACTGACTGGCTTATTTAACAGCTAGTTAAAATGTGAGGTTTGTCAGCATCGTAAAAAAGCCTCCAGAAAGCAGGTCCTTAAGGTCAGAGCAGATGCCATGTGACCCCAAGCGCTCCCCATGGGAAACGTTCAGAAAGAAGTGATCAGACTGTCCTTCAGTTGTTTATTATTTAAACACTCAGTTCAGGCCAAGCAAGTTGATTTATAGAAAAGCAGAAAGGCAGATACAACACTCGCAAAAGCATCTTTGAGACTCAGGAGTCCAAATCTCACTTTCAAGCAAGACTAGAAATTTTCACAAGGGCAAAAGCCTCTGGATTTTCAGCAAGACAGTCTTCCAGTAACCACAGGTTTAGAAGTATCTGGGCCCCTGAAGATACAAAGAGCAACTAATCCCATATTTAAATATCCTGCCTGTACACAGGGAATAAATGTTCAAGCTTCACTGCCCAAGTGCTTCAGTCCTGATGGAAATGCTTTGCCACCTAAAATATGTTCATACATAAAGCAAAGCTATCCTTACAATCTGAGTGAAATACAGGAGCTGGCAGGTGGACATATCCCCCGTGGTGGAGAACACAAGGTAACCAGCATGTCTGCAATAACTGCATGTGACAGAGGTGCACCCAGCTCCAGGTGCTGCTGACTTGGGGACAGCACGTCTGGACTTGAAACCATGAGCTGAGCCTGGGGCACAACCCCTCAGCTCTTGAGGCACCATCGAGGGGCCTCCTTACACCAGGGAACTCTTCAGGCAGTAGAAAACTGTTACCTGTTATCCTTAGGATTTCTGTGTGCTTTACAGATGTGAAATATTCCTGTACCACAACACCTCTGACAGAATTAACTCACTAACAGTAAATCCAGTAGTTTGGGATTCCAAAATCGGGATTTTAGAATTACTTGCTCATTTCAGTTAATTAAGACTCTGCCAAATAATAATTTCCCAGACAAGTGTCACTGGAAAAATCTGAGTATCCATTTTGCTGTTTCCATTTTGCTGGCCTCACTACCTGATTGGGAACATCAGCATCAACTTTACATCAACTTTACATCAAATTCATCCTCAGTCACCCAAATTTGTGTTCCTGCCACCCTGCTCACAGCCAGCTATACACAGGGCAGCACTTCTGCTCTCTGAGGTGTAGAACAGAGCAACTGAAAACAAGATAGACTTTTACCATTACCTTTATCACTTTTAACAGGTAGACCAGGAAGTTGCTGCAGAAATTCAATAGTGTACACACTTGAAACTCTAAATAGCCTTTTCCCAGAGATAGACTCTATCCAGGTGATACGACCATACATATCCACTGCATATCTGTCATAATTGCAAAAGCCCTCAGACCTTTCCTCTAAGATAGAGAAGGTGCCATTTTATTTTTCTTTTGGAAACCTCATCCTGCAGAATTCATTAGTATCCTATGTAACAATGTACTTCCTGTAAGTAATGAGCTATAAAGTGTATTAGAAGTTTCCACTTCTGGTTTTATCTTTTCCTGATCTAGCCTGAAAATTCTTTTGAAGTTCCTCAAAGTGTTCTTCATGTATGCTTGTTTTAGGAAATACCAGATCACTATGGGCAAACTTCTCCTTAATTAAGTGAGATAAAGGAATCAAGATGATATGATCTACCTAATTTCCCACCTTTTTACAGTACCATTTTAAGATAGTTTTCTCACTTAAAAAAGAAACATGCTAAAGAAAATAAGGAAGGAAAATACCTTAAGAGGCCCAGAGAGGGCAAGCACTGCTATGGGCTCTTTAGTGTAGCTGACCTTGCTGGTAGAAAGGCACTGAATAGTTCAAGTTTTCCCTTGTTACTATGGAATGGTTTTCTGAAAGGTTTCAAACCCTTCTGAAACAGCATCACTCTGGTCAATGCACAGGAGGAAAAGACTAAACTGCACTGTGTTAGCACCAGTGGGCTCGTTGGGGGCTCAGCTTAGGAAGCCAGACCAGATCATGCCTAACTTTAAGCACGAGTAACTTCAAAGAAACATCTCATGTCTCAAGTTCAGCCTTCCACTGTCTCTCTTGATGAATCACAACTTAGGGTATGCAGGGAGCTAATGGGAAACATTTGCACTTGCTAACCCCAGTTGCAAGGTCCCAAAACCCCTATTAGCCACGCAGGCATAGGCTGACCATTTTGGATGGGTCAGCAGGCCCTTCACAACAAACGGATACAAGCTGTTAGGCAAGCTCTTCTGAAGCACATCTATGAGAAACATCTCCCAGAAAAAACAGTTCAAATTTGATTTAAAAGCAGTATTTGGGGCAATCAGTACAGTACACAAGCTGACCATTAACCTGTCCAACTCCTACATGGCCTGTTGAAGGAACCACTCTATCTGTGACAAATTGCTTCTCTCATTTTTGCTGTGGAAACCCATTGCAGTCAAGGGGAATTCAGATCTTGAACAAGTTTTTGAGTAGCTTCCTGACTCCAAGGAGACCTCCGAGCAGATTATTTTACCGTGGGTGAGTCTGGACCAAGAAATGCTTTCACTTCCAAGTGTGTGAGCATAGAGCCCTCAGCCCACTTACTCCACGTGCTGGAGCATCTCTCCCTCCTTCTCTGACCCCACATAGCTGACACAGCTGGGCAAGAGACTCAGCAGCAGCAGAACAGGGCCCATAGCACAAAATCTGACCACTTGAAATTTCCCTAGTCTTCAGGTTAAACCAGCACCACCTTTATACAGAAAACACACGTAAAACCCAAGTGCTAAGGAAAAGGTGATGTATGGCTGGAGTGAGGGGAACTTCCCACCTGAACTGTCAGGCTGCTCCAGCAGTGAATGGGGCATTTGAAAAGTCACTGCTGGGAAACACACCAAACAAAAAAACAAACCTAAGGTTTGAGTGCTGCTACCTAGAGATGGAAGGCATGGTCACATCATTGGGTCAAAATTAGTCTCTCTTCAGAACAGAGACATTCTGAAGGCAACAAAGGTTTCTTGAAAGTCACATAAAAATGAATTAAAACTGGATGCCAAATCCCTTAAACTGCTGAAAAAAATCACAGCTAGGGATGCCCAGTAAGTCTGGAGGGGCTCTTCATACTTCACTGAGGTCAAAAAATTTGAGTTCATCCCCAAAGGGAGCTGAAGCCACTCAGCACTTCACCCACAGGCCCTCTGTGAACAGTCTTTTTTCTTGTGGTCAAACGGGGGCTATCTTGAATTTATGTCTTACTTTTCCCCTTGTGAGCAAACAAAACAATTTCTATGAGTAATTCTACCCACTAATTGCCAAGGAAAAGTCTGGTTAGAAATGCTCTGCATTTTTGACAGGTCAGAGGCTTCCCTAAACAAAGTTGCTGTTTTATGTTTTCTAACAGCACATGTTCACATCCGGGGACTTCGGTGAATTCCAGTGCGGATGAGTCTCTGTGGGAAATTGCTTTTCCCTGTTTTCTTGTTTTAACTGCTCCAGGAAATGAGTCTATTTTTACAACACTAAACAGCAAAATATGAAACCATTATCTGCTTTGTGGCAAGAGTTTCGGGTCAATTCTCAGGTAACTGTCACCTCCAGTGAAGGCAATGGAGTTATATCTATTCATGCAAGTTAGTGATCTGACCAATTATGTAATGGGTTGATCAGTTACTAGAACACAGAGCTACCACGAGCCTAAGGAGTGTCTCATTTTCATGCGTCTCAAAGTTCATCCAAGCCCTGAAGTATTGATGATAAGTGAAGTATTCCAGCATTATGGTCTGTAAAGATGATAATTAACTGCTGAGAGATTTAAGCATGAGCATTCTCCATGAATATCTACTTTGTCACTGAATGATCATTATAAGTAGTCTCTTTTTTGGATTCTTTTTTCACCTGCCAAATAATCCAGGGTGGGATTTTCGGCAGTGTTTAAAATGCTTTTCTTCTATTTATTTGTGATTGCTTTCCAGAATCAGGAAGTTTTCAAAATCCCCAGGGGATTTCAAGCACTAAGAGCTCAACTGCATCACTGGGTGCTTCTGCTTTTTGGCACCCCTGATCTTATCAGCTACTCTCAGTTTCAAAGATGGACAGTAAAACCACTTGCCTTCATTATGCAAGATCAAAGATAGTACACAGAGGCCAAAACAGCAAGTCTGATCTGCAGATGAGCATGTAACACTTGTTATAAAACTTGGCTCCTTATTTCCTGGTTTGAGGGACCACTCCAGCCTTCATATGTGAATTTCTTTTCTTTTGAAGCACACAAGTGAGCCTTTCTTTCTGTATTTTTATCTAAGTTCCTGGAAGACAACCAGCATGCAGAGGTATCAGTCCAAATGGAAATTCTGAGTTACTCAAAACTCAAATCAAGTCAGATTTGATGGCCTGCTAATGAATCAAATATAATAATGATTGCATTCCCCTCTAAGGGAAGAAGTTAACACTGGAAAAATGTGACACTGAAAATTTTACTGACAGAAATTCTACCACCGAGAAGTTGCCAGAATTTCATCTATTGATTGTGAAGAAGACCAAGAGTTGGCACTTCCTTACTTTCAGGTTGGGAATTAGGTATTTGTGACTTTACACCTATTTGGAAAGCTCACCAAACGTCACTCGAGACTAACATACAGAAAACAAACTTAGAGACAATATCTAAGGAAAACAGAACCTAACCTATGACTTGTTCTTTGATTTACAACTGTGATTGCAGGCCCCACCTCACAGTCATATGCCATGATAATAGGCAGCAGTTCAACAAGAACCAGCCATAACTTTTTACATGTTGTAGTGATTCTGAGCTACTTCAGCACATACTTTAGCCTGATGCAGCAAATATTTAGAATGACTAAAGGGACAGGTGACATGCCACAACTGCAAAAAGAACGACAGAGCTTTTGATCTTGTTTGTTCTACCTTCTCATTCATTTTTTTCCCCTAAACTAAAAATTGCCAAATTTCACATGAAATTTGCTCTCATTAATTTTTTCCCATCTCAGATTTGTCTGTTATCAGTACAACTGTGAGTTTTCAAATTGTATTCTCTGAGGTACCCAAACAGATAATCTTAAATGGGTTCACTGGCATTAGTGACTGCACTCCTGAATCCACCCATGCCAAGAAAGTATTTTCCCCCAAAACAACAAATATGTAGCTCAAAATGGTAGTCTCCATGGGAGCAGAAGAGAGTGGAACTCTCCCAGCTGTCTTCCTAGTTGTATATACTAGTCTGGATACTTTATCTTTAAGGTTGTTTAAAATATACTTCAATCCTCTATGAGCATGAAGACCCCCATCCCACAACTGGGATCCTGTGTCAGGAAGGCACACCCTACTTAAAAAAATAAGAAAGCATCAACTCTGCTCCATTTGCTTGAGGTCAGTGGGATGTTTGTCCAAAGCTAGGAGTATGCTTAGTTTGAAGAGCAAACAGAGGCATCTCCTAAAGTGCTTTTCCACGTTAGGGTCTGGGAAAAAAAAAATTAAAATTGGGCCCATGACAAAAACAGTTCCCTTAGGAAATGTTACCCACACCATAAAAGGAAGGAATGAAAATTGTCTACTGAATTTTTGTCAATTCCCATAAAATCTGAGTCTTGTTCTGTGTGCATAATTTTCACTCTAAGTCACAAAAGGCTGACTCCTTTGAGCAGAAGGAAATGACCAGCTCATGATAGGATAAAAGGCTGCTTAATTGCAAGGGCAGAAAGATGGATTTTCATCAGTCACTACGTTCTCTGATGATACAGCAGTGGCTTTTGATCATGTATCCGATGCACAGTAATTAGGCAAAATGACTTACCCTCAATCTTTTCAGTATTTAGCTCTAAGGGTGCAAGGATTCATTCTTGGAAAGGGAAGATGGTCGTGTGATTTAGGGCACTGGATGAGCACTCAGATCTGAGTCCTATCCCTGGTTCTGCCACAGCCTTGCTGTATGACCTTGCACAGTCTTTTCTCCATGCCTCGGTCTCGCCTAAAATGGGACAACAATAGTTCTTTATTTCAGAGATATGAATACAAACCAGTTCAAGGCTGTGCCGCAGAGATGCTACAGCAAAGAGCAGCACAGAAAAGCTCAGATATGGAATAATGCCTTGCTAGTAAAATGTGGGAACGCAGACAGTAATTAAATTGAATAACAAATACAAAACATAGGTTGATTTTTGAGGAATGCAGCACTTATAGGCTTTTCTCTGTTACTTGAAATTAAAGGAAATTTAAGTGGGATTCTTATGAGTTCACCTGAGATCTGCTAGTACCAGAAGCTGTGTATTAGAAACACCAAGAAAATGACTTCATTGAAAACCTCACATGGTGTCTGTTTTAAAACAACCATGATTTCCAGCCCAAGGCAGGGTCAGATAATCATTCACAGTAAGATTTTCAAAGCTATGGAAGGGGCCTACAAACATGATTTCCTTCAATTTACAGTAAAATGTGAGCATGCAAATCTGAGGTAGCTTTGAAACTTCAAAATAAAATTTGAAACTTTCAAATTAAATCATAAATGAGGCCACTGATCTTAATTAAACTGTCAGATCTCTGGAATAGCTTCATTGCCATTCTTTCAGAGTCACAATGTTGCTGTGATTGGACAGAGCTTTAGCAAAGAGTCTTCAGTAATGGGTATTTTTCCAAATGCAAAGCTGAATCTTTTTCTCTCCACAAACACACATCTATACAACAGCATTTGTCTTTCATGTGTGTGGGGGTGGGTCAGTTATAGGTCTATAGGTGTGGGATGCAGGATCTTGGGGCACACAGATAAAGCAGCTGAACTAGAGACAAACAGATCAAAGGCTGTTCTGTGAGGCAGGAGATAAGAGAGATGAGACACATCTTAGGAAAGCAAAATAATTTCTGAGAGACAGAAACAGGGATGGGAAAGTCAGGCAGAGAATATCTGAAAAAGAGACCACAGAAAGACAACATGGACCTGAGAAGGACAGGCAAGAGAACCTCACAGCTGGAATGCTGAAGCCCATTGGAGGGAGGAGACCCACAGACGCTGTTCCAAGCAGATTAAAAAGCCTAAGCCCAAAGACAAAGTGGTGGAGCTGCCTAGGAACCTCCAGGGCTGGAGAGGAGCAACTGCCTGTAGTTACTGTGCACTGTCCAATAAAGTAGATGCCAAGGAGGGCAGAGGAGAGGAAAAAAGGAAAGCAAACTGGCACGTGATCCTTGATTTCACTCAACAAAAGCAACTGAAAGGTCTGGAAAGATGAAGCACGGAATTAAACATAATGAACTGACTGGAGAATCAGTGATCATGCACCATATTTTAACAACGGAGGTTGGTTTGGGGCAGTCCTCTCTCTATGTATTTTCTGTTCAGACAAGACCTCAAAAAACCAATATAATCAGATCAACAAGTTCTGAATCCCTGCAAAGAGGAAGTGGCTGTGGAATGTGAAACAGAAAAACATTTTATCCCCAAATCACTACCTACAATGTGGAAGGACAAAACCAACAAGGTGTTACAGCATCGCATGGAAGTGCGACTTATGACAACTATCATCCTCAGCTCCATTAAGCCCTCTACAAGCCCCCCAGCCCACAAATAACAGAGCTGTCAGTCAGATACCTTGTGGCTCCAACTGCTCACACCCTTCCCTGTAACACTCCAAATGCAGCACATTACAAGTCCAGAGGGAGTCCACCTCCAGTAGACAGCAGAAGAAGATAGGACACGGCATTCACAAATGCACAGAGAACTGTTTAATTTACAGCCACAATGGTGAAACAAACCATTTCAGAGCTCGGACATTCAAAGTTAAGTCTGACACTCATTCTTATATTCACTTATTGTGCTTAAGTATTAGAGAACACAGGATTACACTGACCGTACACGACAACCCGGGATCCCTGCGGGACCGAGGAGTGGAAGGGATGAGCAAGAATGAGGGACCAGCCCCTCAAGTGGTGTAAGCTGGTACAGCTCCATTGCAGGCAACAGAGTGATGGTGATTTACACCAGCTGAGGATATGGCCCTTGAAATGTCCAACTTAACTTTGAATTAATGTCTCCCGTGTCACCACCTGTAATGTCACTCTTCCCTCTGGTTGTATCTGCCACTCTGAAGGACTAACCCCACAGCCTGCAACGTTGGATAGGGTGGCGGGAAAGATCTCAGCTGGACTATAGGAAGTGATGCTCATGTCATGACACTACTCCTTGTAATTTAAAAAGCATGGACTGGATCCTCATCTGATGTAAATTAGGTTGGGGGCAGCTGAAGTCAGAAACGTTTTGCCAATTTATAGTAGCTGAGAACGTAGCCCTGAGATTTCTGTGTTTTCTGCCGCATGAACACTGTGCTTGAGAACAAAGACTCGTGTGCGTTTCATTCCCCGTAACAAAATCAACTCGAGACCACAAGTCTCAAACAAATGACTACTGGAAAGGACTCCATTCAGTCTTCATTCTCCCCTGGTTTGCTGAATTTGGCATAACACGTTTATTTGCTGGCACCAACAAAACACGTGCCCCTCGGTTGGCTTTGTTTTCAAGACTTTACTCTAAGGCCAGACTCCCTCGTGATGTAAATCAGCAGAGCTGCAGGATGCTCCATGGAGTCATTCCAGGGGAGCTGGCCCACAGATCCCAACACAACCTTCTTATGCCAGTGCAGGACTCTCAAAGAGTTGTTTTTCAAATTATTCCACTTAAGTGACTTTGACATCCTTTCATCACCTGCACAGTGTCTGAGTGGGTCACATAATGCTTTTCATTTACATGATTTTAATGGATATATGTTTGGTTTTTTTTTTTCATTAGATATCTTTTAGACAAAAAAAAGGAACGGAGCAACATTACTGGCATCCCACTGAAACATAAATATATAAATTACATTTTATACACTTTTTTTAAACGCAGACACATACATTCATGTGCATAACATTGTGAACAGTACACTTAGTGGAAAACAAGCACAGACAATCTTAGTTAAATGTATTTCCAGTTTTGGTGCTCAACAAATACACTGGGAAAATGATCACAAAATAGAACGGTGACTAACTCTATCTCTGCATTAGCATCTGAAGCCAATAATGCCTGTTAGCTAACATTGCTTTGTTTGGTTGAAATTCAACATAGCTACAGGAACAGGAGGGGAATGTTTGAACTATATTTAGAGAAGTGGAAAGGTTAAAAATCTTGCTCTCTTTTGTTGTTTTAAGGTTCTGCAGTTCATTCACATTTGAAGATATTTTTGAGTGGAAAAACTGTCTTCAAGACAAACTTTTTTGTTGTTCCAAACTAAGAAAACTCTTTCATCTCTTTGTAGATGTTTCACAATAAAAGAATCCAGTAGTTCATTTTACATATCCAGTGTGATAATCCAAATAAAACAAAGGGTACATAATCCAAACTACTGGGGTGGGGCAGTGATTTTGGCCAAGTGAGTAGCCATGTCATATCTGGCACAGCCCTAAATTTCCAAAGCAATACAGAAGGATTTAGCCATGTGGCTCCCACCACAATCCGAGGGGAACTGAACATTTAATCCTTTGGCACTTTGAAAAAACAGGAGCTGCTGCCAGAGTATTTTATCTGCCCTGCTATAATTAAAATAGATTTTGATGTTATTTGGGCTATTCTACTACAAAAATATGACCACAAAATGCTTTTTTTTTTCTTTTTTCTTTTTTTTTTTTTTTTTTTTTTTTTTTTTTTTTTTTTTTTTTTGGTTCAAGAAAACATAGCAGGCTTTCTCAGGTATATAAAACTGTTAATTTTTAGATAAAAATACAAACTTCACCTTTACAAAAACACATATTTCTGTTGAATACACATAAAGCATAACATTTTACCAAAAATAAAGAATTTTAGGTTTTGTTCAAATATTTGCAGCAAGGTAGTTCCCATGCCACCATGACATTATACAATGCAGATACAAGAATTTGTACATTTCACACAGCTCCAACATGTGAAATAAAAGTATCTGTATACTGATAAGAATGACAATTGCTAACACAATATCACTAGTAGGCAACTGGCATAAGTCTTAAAGGAAAAAAAAAAAGAAGATTTTTGCATGGATAGCCTATGATTTGTTTACGCACATCTCTCTTTTTTTTTTCTCTTTTTTTTTTCTTTTATGTAATGCTTTAAATTACGGGGGAGGTTGGGGAACATAAACCAAGAAACGTCTAGAAAATTATGCATAGGTATACCATTTTTATTTTAATACATCTCATTAGTTTGCATCCCACTAGGAGAAATACCATAATGTTTTGTGTTCTGCTTATTGTTATACCAGTCTTTTTATATGTGTTATTGGCAAATGTAGTCCGAGAGATAATAAAAAGCTAGGCAAAGAGTAAAAAGAAAACTTAATAATCACTTTATGGTGTAAAAAAAAAAATCCACTTAAGGCTCCCCAGAAGGTTTTTTTGTATAGACTTTTAAAACACCACCAAGCAAGGATGTATTGTTCTATAGTGTTTGCGTGGCATTTGATCATTTCGTACATTCCTGCTTTTTTTGTGCCTGAAGTCCACCAGTGTCCATCCATCTTCATCAAGAACGCAGGCACATTTCTTGACGTAAAGCACCGTTGACTGCTCTGACAGAAATCCACTATTCACTTAGATTTTTGTCATGTTTTTGAGTACTTTTGGTATCCTCCATTCATTCAACTGTCTTTTTTTCTTTTCTGTTTTTCTTTCTTTCATTTTTTTTTTCTTTTTTGGACAGGGAAGCTTCCTATTGTTTCACAGAGTGCTACAATACTTGCTTTGATGTCACATTAAACAAATGTACATTGTCTCTTTGTTCTCATTAAGTGTTCTTTTGAGCCAGTTTTTTCACACAGGAGAACAAATAAAGTATACAGTCAATAAGCACCATACATAGTAGGTTCAGGAATGTAACAAACCATGTACATCCATGTCCCAGAGAGAAGTTTTTTTTCTAGCTTATTTTCACCTTACATCTGTAGGAGAGAAAAAAGATACAATAACTCTATGATTAGAATCAAAGGTCCTGTCCTCGAAGCAGATGACTTAAAAAAAAAACTGTTCTGCATGAAGAGTCACTAACCTGGGACAAGAAGTTCTAAATGCTGTTCTGATTGAGTTTACATGCTCACTTTTAAAGTTGAATTTTAGAAAATCTTTGCTTCTATCATACTACTCCCAATAAATACCTGTTAATCTGAAACAGGATATCAAGTTTAGCATTCTTCAGAAACGGTACATCAGTATAAATGAAAACTGCCATTGGGAGTTTATGTGCAAAAACAGGGGCTTGAAATTAAATTCACCATCATCCAGGCGTTAGGCACATACACTGCAAAATCCAAATCATTCCCACTCCAAATACTAGAATCAGTTGCAAGTGCTGCAGTTTACATACTTTCAAGTCATTTAGAAATGGAAATTCCATATTTAATTTGGAATGTGTATTGCCATCATCATACACTGCTAATATGTTGGCCAAAGGATTTCAGTCATTTTTGCACTGAGAGGGTGTTAGTTTTTCACTACACTGAAAACCTCATGAATTTTGATGACTGACTGTCATCATCCTACTGAGACTGAACAGACCAAAAAAAAAAAACAAGAGATCTTAATTTTCTGGTGTAAATAACACAGGGCCCTGCAACACAAAAAGTGGTATTTCTAAGCATCTTCCTTGCCAGGTAGGCAGATTATCAGATGCGTGAACAATCAATCCCAGTTCATGCCAGAACACGGGTTTGATGGCCACACATATAATAGTATTTGCTGTATGTACACTCAATGTTTTACAGCCAAGGACTGGGAACACAACAATTTGTAACCTGGTAATTCATTCATGCATTATTATGTGATGCTTTGACCTCAGAAATCAATAATAATGAAACACAAGCAGAGGCAATGGAACTTGAGATTTCAGAAGCTGAAGTATTAGCACCCTCCAATAAAAAAGAAACGAAAAAGGCAAGAAAAGGAAGTAGCTAAAGAATGTAAGATGCTGATGGTGATGTGGAGCTTAAAGGGAAAATACCAGCAAGTAGAATTATCAAAGCCAATCAAATCTAATCTCTTCGCAGCCTTGAGGTAGCAAGTGTCAAGATTTTGAACAGTGATTAAGTTGAAGTGATGGCATTTGATTAAGTTTTCCAGTACTTGTGCTATTAGGGTGTTCAGCATATAGGTCCTACCTGAATATCAAATAGTTCCAGTAGGTTTTATGTTGGTTTTAACTTTTTTCGTTTCCGTTTTTTACCTGATTCCCTAGGCCTTCCTGTTAACATAAGGGCAGGGCTGGTAAAAAGCCCTAAGGTAACGCATTTCGTTGAACACTGAAGTAATAAATACTCAAACCGTTTACATTTCAAAGAAATCTCATTATCCTTTGCATTAAAGTAATAACTTCATAACGTCTGATTTGACATTCGGTTTACAAAGTAATTATACAAAAGTAAAGAAATAATAAACGAAGTTGGCATTGCATACGTCATTTCCAAGATCCAGCTATAATTACTGTTACCATGCAGTACTCAACATTTGCTTTCAGCTCTGGAGTTAAGCTATTTTCAGCTCACCATCCACTTGCTGGTGCAAGTTTTGTTCCTATCAGTAATTAAATCCTAGAAATCTATATTTTTCCACGACGATTCTACCCCATTTTTTACACGTATCAGAAAGAAAAATTTTCATCTTAAAACCTTAAAACTGCTTTAGTCTTTGGTAGTTAAAGACAATTTGGAAAAGTGAAACTGATCAAATGAAACTTTTTTTTTTTTTCCAAATAGAAGACATAGAAAATATATCAAACCATACAGACATCAAAAAGAACCACTTTAAATGTGGTTTTATCTACTCATAACTCCACATAGTTTCAGCTAAACACTCAGTTCAGATTATAAATTGATGTCCAATAAAATCGCAGCAGAGGTCTAACTTTGTTTTTATACAAATTCTAATTCTTCTGCTCTGTTCTTAGCAACTGAAGTTTACATTTGCTTGGACCAGGTTTATGTCTCCATGCTGGAAGGAGACAGCACAGAAAGTCCTTCCTTACCCAGCCACCTACAAAATCCACCTTTGGGCAGCTTTCCTCCTATTTTTACCTGCTCCTCACTGACTGTTAATTTTGGGCTGGATCTACTGCACTCTTAAATTTCCTGCAGAGGTGCAAAACAAACTTTTGAGTTTGCCTTCAACCAGTATCAGAAGAAAGGGAGATGTCCTTTCTGCTGTAGTGGGGTTCCTTAATACGTGTGTCAAGCTCTGCATTGATTACACCCTAGTAAGAAGATCTGAGCTAAGATTTTAGATTATGATTTTAGATCAATTTAGAATGATTTTATGAAAGCATTTTCCCCATTAATCTTTCCGCATTGTAACTTAAATGTTCTCTTGATGAGGCAAATTTAGGTTTAATGTGAAAACTGACAAATTCTTGATCACACATACATAAGAAAACAACAGGAATGGGCAATGTTGTTACAAAACTAACTCCTTACCCTTGAACACTGAATTTATTCTGAAGTGCTTTACATTAATTTCATTAATATTTTCCCCAAGGTCAAGTAAATCTCAGACTTAGCCCTGTCTCCACAAAGTCTAAAGAAATTAGGCAACAGAGCTCACCAATAAGCTGCAACATGACAACCTTTAACTTAGTGAAGCAAGACCTGAATACTACTGGGCATTTACATTTATTTAAAGTCTAATCTAAAGAGAACTGATACACTTTAAACTTGAAATCCAAACTCCTTATATAGCACAAACTGTCCCTAATTTTGCATCCTCAACACACAGAGAAGTAGTTGGGAGCTTCTCTACTGAGTTCACTGGAAGCAACATTTGCTTTGCATTCTTTACTAATAAAAATATAAGGTCCATATGAAATCAGCATTAATGCAAAAATAAAAGGAAAACATACCAGTTTCTTCTTCTCTATAATCTGAATTAGTATTTGATGATGTACAGGTGCATTCCATATGCTCTTCTAATCTCACCAGAACTTCTTTTAATTTTGGCTTTTTTCTAACATATTCCACTTTTGCCACCTATAAAATACGATGAGGTACGTACTGAGACACATTAACATGGTTATAGTTCAGAACTGAAGACAGATAACTATATACCTCTGTTTTTAATGTAGCCAAACCCATACAAAACGTTAGCATACTAATCATCCTTTATCTTAATTGTGCATCGTGTAGCTATTTATTGCACAGACTATTTGTTTACTCAAGTTCAGCAGTTTGAAACCATTTGCTTTTTCCCCAAGAGATAAAACAATTTCCCATTCATTTTGGTTTGAAGTTTTAAGCAACTCAGTTTTCACACATATCACAATAAACTTCCACGTGGATTCAAATCAGTGGTTGTTCTTGTGAACTACCACTTTTAGCACAATCTTCTGTACATGTTGTTAAAGGCTGACAGTGAAGGCATTAGACTGGTTTGTAATTCATTTTATTATTTACAAATTGGTGTCTCCGAGCCTTCTGAATGTGAAGTGCTCAACTCTATATAGCCAGGATCTGAGTATCACCTCAGAGAGCAGCAATCCCATTCCTTCTCACTTCCTGCAACAACCTAGGACTTGTTTACAGGAGCTCCCATGAATAGTTTTTAGGTCTAAGGGAACTACCACTTGCAAACTGGATACAGCCTTTGGCCTTACTGTGGATTACTGGCAGGCACACTATTCCTCTCCAGTCTTTCCAATTGCTTCCAAGTGCACTGCTCCATTTATGGGATCCTTACAACAAAAAAGCCTGGAGGGCAAGGTGAGGTTGGAGGAAGGAGCTTGCTGCTGGAGCAGCTCTGGCTACACGCTGGTCTCTCATCTGAAGGGAACCAATGCAGAACAGAAGGACACTGGTCGGGGGGATGCCAAACCTTAGGACATCCTGACCAACAGGTTGGAAGCCAGGAGAGGAGGAATGGTACAGAGGGCAGGAACACTCATGCTCTGGGGTGCTGAAATGGCTTGTGGGCTGCTGGGCACTGACTTGTGCTAAGTGTAATGGGTGTGATGGTTATGGCTGTGCAAGGGAATATGGCATTATGTGGGCAAAGAGAGTCCTGGAGAGTTTGTAAGGGGTCCAGTGTGTAGTTTTGTGTTTAACACTGCAGATTAAGTGATAATCAATTGCTTGAAATGGAAATCACTGAAACGAAATCATAGTTTCTCAGTCCTATTCATCCTTTGACAAAAGGGCACTGCAATGTGGCTGTCCCAGCAAACTACAGATGACTACATATCACATGGATGCATAAATAAGAGAGATGAGGGAGAAGAAGGACAGGAGAGGCTGGTTGTCTCTACAAAAGTTACATGACAAAGCCATAAAGGCTGGTCCAGCCAAAAGCTCCTGATGCTACCAAATAAAGCATCCACAATTACACTAGACTCTCCCAGTCATGGTTTACTTGTGTGTTTGACAGGGATTTAATGTTCCAAATCAACCTTCACACTATGAAAATCATTCCCTTGCCCTTCCAAAACTGGAACAGTGTCACAAAATGAGAGTGGTGGCTGGAAAAACCCATCACATTCCCAGCTCCCAGAAACACTCTTCTGGCTCTCTGGACACAACTGTCAAGGACCTCTGAATGACAGTGACAGAAGCTAGAGCAAAATCCTGGCCTTCTTAAAGCCAGTGGGAGATCTGCCTCCTCCTTCATGGAACAAGGAATTCAGATCCCCGTTCTAGTCACTGCCCCTTGTGTCAACAGGATCTGGAGATGATTTTCATTTACCCAGCAAACAAAACTTACAGAGACAGATGCAATAAAAAAGTATCCACATTAAAAGGTACATTCCAAAACTATCAGATCTCCATATAAACAGATCAGGAGCTAGCCATGACATACAACACTTCAGGTGAAAGACTAGCTATGGGCTGAAGCAGTACGTTTCAAAATCTCCTATCAGAAGCCAACTACATCCAGCCTTTGAACACAAAGATTTGAAAATGTATGGTACAGCTGAGTCATGCGGCATCAAAGGATGACTAATCCTTAAAATTTATGAAAACAAACAGTAATTAAGACACCTCCATCATCAGAGACAAAGAAGGAGACCCAGCAATCATGAAACAGCTTTCAGATCTGCCATGCTTATTACAGCTGTTAGAATAAACCAGTCTCATTGAAAATTACACGCAACAAAAATAAACTGTAATCAAGCTTTTAAAAGTCTGCCCTTGTTGTGCTTGGTTTTCCAAACTGAAAGATACATGGAGTTCCTGTGGCTATTTGGTATTAAACAACACTTAAAAAAAAAAGATAATACTTTGAAGAGGATCATAATTAATTTAAGCAGCAATTTAAAGTTGTTTTTTACCGCTGCAGTTAAAATACAATCCAGCACATGTTCCACTGCCCTCCTTCATGCTACACAAGTTAAAGCACTGTCATTTTGTAAGACGTTGCAAATATTCAAACTGAAGCAGCACAAACCAAACAAGTTGCAGTGTTTGTGTCACCTGTTAACACACACAATGCTGCTGCCACACACAGCACTGATCTACAATGATGAAGGCTGCAGGTCAGATTTACAGTGGGTAGAAACAGGGATAGCTGTGAACAGCATGAGAGCTGGCCTTGTGTACAGATCTTTTTTTCTTCTTTGTATTTTTCTCCCCAGTGTTTATCTTGTACAGTTAGTCTCAAGTGTATTACCCAATGCCTCGAGGTGGTCAGTCCTCCACAAATCAACAAGCTTCTTTGACTTGTCTCTAATGCAACAAAAATAAAAATCCTCAGATCCTCCAGACCCACGAAATGTCACTATGTAAAAACCTTTCAAGAGAAAGGCAGTGAAATGACTGACTAACTTAAATGGTGTATAATCAGTGGCACCATCCTTGCACCACTGTAGACTCCAGGTCTACATCCTGCAATACAGCATGGTGGTTAAGTAAAAATGAAAATAAAATCTGATAAAAATATATGGCCAAATGGAAACATCATGGGAACACATTTTTTTAAAGCTGCTCTGGGAGAGCTGAAATCAGGGACTAACAGCAGGAAAAAAACTAGACTGCAAGCAGAAATGTCCAAAACACCTCTAGCACAAAGCCAAACCTTATTGTGGGCAGGAACTTGCAAGGTACAGAAAGTTCCTCATAACAGCAGAACTCATGTGGTTGACAGCTAAATACTGGTTGAGAAATAAACCCTAAAAGCAACTGAATGAGGATACCTTTTGGAATATATTGCCTCTGTATTATGCATGCTGATATGATGGTGGGAAAACCTGTCTACAAGGAAGACATAAGTCAACAGGGAATAAAGTACTGGGGAGGCATCAGGGCTGCTGTGGGGCCTGGCAAGTCACTGCTCCTGGGAGAGGAGGGCAGGACTGGAATGGTGCCTTCCAGGGCACACCGTGCCAGCTGTGCCTGCCCAGCGCCTCAGAGTCTGGCACCCACCCATCCTAAAAACACATTTACAGGCCACTACTCTGCCAAAATCCTTGCCTCAGAAAAGCCTCAAGGTGCAGGGGCAGCTGAAGCAAACTCGTCACCCCTTGCCAGAGGGAATGGCTGATGTGGGGTCTCCGTGTGCCGTGTCCCTGAGCAGAGCAGCCAGACCCTGCCCTCTGCCAGGGCTCCTCACGCTCTGAGGGCTCATCGCTGCTTTTCTGCCTTCACCTGTATCAGGGTTTCCTTTGTTTCTCCCATTCCTAAACTGACCTTTGATACCAAGTCCTGCCTGCAGGTCCCACCGAGTGCTGGCTGTAATCGCCAGTTAAGCCACAGCTAAATCAAACTGCTGTTTATCCTCCTGACAGAAAGTCACTGAAGAAAAATGTTCTTAAACCTGCAAACATGACATACAGTCATTTTACCTACACGTCCCATTTATTCTGCAAGGCCTTTTTAACCTCCTCAGAGGCTGGGTAGCTCTGCTGAACAACTCACTCTGAATTCCTGCATTTTTTTCCATCTCTCTTCAAACCTTTGAACAACTCCCCAGTGACAGCTGAGGAGCTGCTCCTGCATTCCCTCCCTTCCAGGTCCTTTCTCTGCATCTTTCTCTCCTATTACTGTACTGTAAGAACATACTAGGTTAAATTTCCTCAGGTTAGCTCAACACTGAATATGCAGAAATGGCTGAAGCTGGCAGGGCTATGGCTGAAGGCCAACCTGAGGCAAAGCCAAGGTAGATAGAGTCATTTAGCTCTTCTCTCTTAGTTTGAAAATGAGCAAACAACCATAATGTTCAGCTTGGCTATTTAAAATTAGCAGTATAATCAAGATTTGCTCTGTAACATTAACTATTTTATGTTGCTGTGACCAAAACCACCAAGAACACAACACCACCATGCTCAACACTACAAAAAGCCTCTTCAAAAGACTCAGTTCAGAACCCCTCCAAGAAAAAGCAAGTCTGGTACTTGGTAAGTACTTGATCTCGCTGGGCAGAAGCACCTAATCTGCAGATGTTACTGAAATGCTTTTGCAGATAGAGGAGGAAATCTCTCTGTAACTAACACCAACACCCCTAACTCACCCATTCTTGTCACCATTACTCTACCAGGAGAGAAATGCAATCCTTTCCTTCTTATCAGAGAGCAACTCCCAACCAGCCTCTTCATTTCAGTCTCATTTCTGCAGTGCTGTGCAAGTGCAGCTTGCTACATAGAGATGCCTTTAGGGTCAGGAGGCTGTGCTCTCGTGGGCTCACTCTGTTACGGTGCAAGGCAAACCTACCTTTCACTAACCCACCCCATGAAAGGGAAATCTTAGAAGACTCATTTCAAGGAAGCTCTTCCACCCACACCCCTGGCTTGGAGCCTCCCTACAGCTCCAATTCCACAAGCCCATTAATGGTGCTTCACTGACCAGAGCTCAGTGAAGGCAAAGTAAGGACATCCCCCAACCCTCCAGCCCTTGCCTCACGTCCCAAGAACGGAATGCCCAATGCAAGCACCTCCACTGCTCCTCCCACACTGCCACAGCCATCTCTTAACCTTGACTACAGTGGCCCTCAGTAAGACAAAGAAAACACCCTCTGCTTTCGCCTGTTGGATGATGCAAACCTACTTGCTGACCTTTCTGGATGAACATTTTTCTAGTGTGAATGGGCCAGCTATGATCTCACTACCTTGTCAATGAGGAGGAAGCAGGGAAAGCCTTTTCAATGTTCAATCAAAAGAGAGCTTTTATGCAGTCTGACATCAGGGGAAAACACAAGCCGGCTTTCCAACTGCACCGCAGAACAGCTGAGAAGGCTCTCCAAAACCGCTCCCCCTACCTTTCCAGCGACCCTCACTCTGGGCCAGCTACTTAATGGCATGAGCAGACATTCAGCTCTAAACACAGGATTGGCAAAAGGCTCAGAAAACCATCAATTACATCAAAGCTACAAGAGGATCTGACTCTGGAGGGCATAAATATGGATTGTGTTCTGAGTGTTCTGGTGTGACAGTGGGGTCAGCCTACAACCTTTACAATGAACATCCTGTTCCTGCTTGACCTCTTGTCCTTTTTTTCCCCTGCTACTTAATGACCGTTTGGAGCAGTCTTGGAGCTTGGAAAAAAAAAAATGTCCTCCAAAGCTGGCTGACGTATATTGATATTGCTGGTGGCAATATATTTACACAGCCACGAAAAGCAGCTGCTCAGCTGAGCCTACTTTTAGCTTGTGCCCTACTAAAATGAATGCAAATCTAAAAGCACTACAACCATATCAGCAAAGTGAATGAGGGAAGCAGCCCCAGCAATGACATCCTGCAAAGCTGTTGCCAGTTGGGGAGTTTGCAGCTTCTAGGGGACGCTTGGTGTCCCCAGCAGTGGGGGACTTTGGCAGCCAAACCTCTCTCTCTCATCTGTTGTCTCCCCCATCACTGCACGGGTAGGAAGAGAAGCACAAGGTTGCAGTATCACACACAGGTACCAACAGCAAGTTTGTAATACACATCTCAACTCTTTGCTGGGCACTTCCAGTTGCTTTGTATGTGTTAGTTGCTACACAAAACTAACTGGAAGCTGCATCAAACCCAAAGGCAACAGCACTAAACCCTGAGGCACTTTGCTGTTTAGCTCCTATTTGGAAAGGCTCTCAATTGCAGTCATTCAACTTCCCCAGTTTGTTCTCAACCCTCAAATAATTACTGATCCCAACTTTTAACTCATTTTTAATTGTTTCTGCAAAGCATATCCCACAAAGGAAAGGCAGAAAGCAAGTGTAAAGTATGATTATTTTTGGAAACACCGAGGGAACCTGCTCAGATGTTTCTCCGGTTTATTTGGATGTGAAAACATTTTTCAGATATTCAGAAAGAGAAAGGAAAAAGAAATCCTGCTCAGAGTCATGTCTGCACGTATGAAAAACAATGAAATGGCTTCAGTGCCTAAATTTTCTGTCTAGGACATACAGCACTACGTGAACAGCACTTTTCTAAATAAGAAATCCATTGCAAGTACAGTGATCAGTGTGTTGTGCTGGGCAATTTTATGTTCAAGAGTGTGGTGGTTTCTTTTTTTTTAAAATTCTGCTCTCAAAATACTCAGGGCAACAAGAACAACAAGAACTTAGAGTCTTCACAATATAAATGCTAAGTGTAAGTCTAATCTCCTACACACAGATGTAGATCAACAGTACTTGTTTAAATACTGATAAAAACTAGAACACAGTGAAGCCAAATGAACATAAATATTTCACGTAATATTTACTGGAAAGTTGCAATAGGGATTTTGTCTAATGAGTAAATACAGCATGAAGCTGTTGAGTCTTCTATCCCTGGGGTAAGATAATTTGAAACACATTTTTTCAGATCAAAAGTGTTATGTTGTCAAATATAAAAGCCCAATTTAGGCTGCATAATATTTAATTAAGAAAACAGCATTCCATACTGTGATTTATTTATTTTTTTAAGTCCAATGCCCCTTGAGTCATTTTATCTTCTTAACTTTAAGATCTGTACTGCGAGAGATCATGGGAAAGACACAATCAACTTTATTTTCATTACAAAAGAAGAAAACCTAAAGGGAATCCTGCGAAAATCAAATCCAAACCCAAGATTTTCCAACGATCACGTAACTTGAAAAGGCCATCTGCTCACTCAAAACGGAGAGGAGCATTCTATCTGATCCTGTGGCTGGGAGGATGGACAATGAAGATTCGGGTCATACGGCACAGCCATGAGAATATATATGGAGTTTTCGGACTGAAGAGGACCCTCTGAGGGCTCTGCAGCCAGGATTTGCTCACCTTGACACTTCTGTGGTGTATCCGGGACGGCTGGCATTTCACACTGCTGGTGTTGCAGCAGCCAGTGCAGCGCTTCACCTCCACGCAGGGCGGCCATATCAGGAAGTTGGCCGAGGTGGGATCGATCTGACTCCGAGGTATCTCGTAGATGACCGTCCGTGTCTTGCAGACAGCCGGGATGGCCTCCTCTGCGGGCACAAGAAATTCACACTTCCAGGTGAGCGGCTGCTCTCACCCCACAGCACGCAGACGTTTTGCACCCCCCGTAAGTGGCACCCCTGAGCTGTGAGCTGAGACGGTGTTCTGAGCTCCCCCCAGTTACGGACAAGTCGGTGCTGAGTATTATTTGCCTGCCACTAAACTGTGTGTGTGCTACCCGAGAGAGAAGCTTGACTCGCTCCCAAAAGCCCAGCCCAGAAACGAGGGTTTACAATGGCCTGGCTCCCGACATAGCTCGGAGCACATACCATTAGATAAGACAATCCTGGCTCTTTAGAAGTGACAGCAAGCCAGGGGCTCCTCCAGATTTGATGACCCTCTAATACAGCCTCATAGCGACTGCGTAAGAGTGGCTGTTGTTTTCCAGCACTGTGGCAATCACTGCACACACATGGTATCACACAAACATGCAATACGTGGCAAATAACACCTTAGCGGTTCCACTGATGTTACCTGAGTCATACCCAAACTGGTTCAGCTGGGAGAAAACCTGCACCAGCTTGAACCTTTCGAGATTTGAGTTTCCACTTCCAAAACCTTAACATCCCCACATCAGGGAGTCTGGTCCATCCACCACTCCAAAGGGCAATTGCAATTTTTACTGAAGTTATCAAAGCTTTGTACACGGTGGGTTTTATTTAATTTATTATTTCTTGAATGAGGCAAAGCCACAAGAGTATCATGACCAAAAAATTTGCAGCTAAACCAAATCCTGCTGGGCCTCAGGTAAGGTGAGCCTGCAAATCACAGCTTCAGCCACGTATTATATAGTTCTGCACTACTGTGTAATGCGGTCACGATCCAAACCATGTTATCATTCTCATCCTAGGGACTGCCTAAGAAGTCAAGTTGATATTTCAAAATGGTCCAGCAAAAAATAGCAATCGCAGGGACAAGTTGTTTGACGATAAGTTCTCCAAAGACAGCTTGGATTTTTTTTTTTTTGCCTTACAGTGGAAGCAGTGATAGCTTTGGGTTAGATGTGTCAAGGAACTGGAACACTGCCTGCACTTCTTCAGTTACTTCTGAAGTACAAGAAGTTCAGGCCTGGCCTGTGCCTGTAACGTGAAAATCTAGGCTCAGTTTTGAAAGAGATGCATTTCAATGGACTAAACAGAGTGAAAATTCTTTTTCTCAATCCCCAGCGCCGTGAACTCAGGAAAATTAACGGATCCAATACTGCAAGATAGCTGGCAACTCCCACAAGTTATTGAGCATATCCAGTTCCCACTGACTTTTACGGGGAGGCATTCAACACCTTGCAGGGTAAGGTGCCAAGTGTAGCAGACTGTTTCAGAACCGCTGTTCTCTGGAGGCATTCAATGTGACGAGCGCGCTTGCCAATTCACACCGCAATCCACGCTGACAGCACGCTGCGCTATCGCCGCGTACCACCACAGCTGAGAGCACAAATAGACTGACTCTGAACCACCCATCCCAGATAAGACCATGGATGTTTTCCACAGTCAAATGGGAACGGCAGAACACCCAGGCCTCATCAGATGAACAAGCATCGCATACAAACCCTATGCTAGCATCTCTTTAAATTTATATTCGGGTGCTGTCGGGTCACCGTCGTCGTCGCTCAATAAGAATAAAATCCCCTGTAAACATGCCTGGTGCCCTATGCAATGATGGAAATCAATGTCCCGGCGTTTCCATCAACGGTTTTTAATTTTTAGGATAAGCTGTATTTTTCTTGTGAATAAAGAGTCAAGCTGTTTCCTTTTGTGGAGCTTCTGTACTGAAAACTCTACCAACTGTTGATGTTTTTTAAGGCACACTGCTGTAGTTGTTCCCCACACTATGAATTATACATTGAATATCACAGCATTTTCTAACCGAGGTCTAGCTTTCGAACATGCTGCAACAAGAAAGTGAATGTAAAGAATTTGTGCTTGTCTGTCTCCTATGGACATCCTCCAGAAGACAGCTTCTCAGGCAACGGCTCGTTTTGTGCAAAAAGAAAGGCAGAAACCAGAAATGCCCTTTTTTCCCTTTGTGCATGTCACATTTTTCCAGTGAAATGTCCTGCTTGGCTGACCAAAAGCACCCCCTCTGCTTTCACTCCCAAAGTACAAACAGCTTGTTTCTTACCAATGCTTCTTTTTCTGCGAATGGGCACAGGACGATTCTCTTGCACATGTTTAGCAGAATGAACGCTATAGGATCTCAAGTTTGTTTCTGAAACATCATCATATCCTAGGACAGGAAACAAAATATTAAATCTCAGGTATGTTATTTGCATCAATGTCTCTACAGTGCTGTTCCACACATATAAATCTGTGCCGTTCATATGCACAAGACCAAATCCTACTGCAATTAGTTTAATATATTCCCTCGTTAATGCAATTGCAAGGGCAAAAGGCAGGGAAGACACAGACATAGTTAAATGTCATGTACAAGCATGCACAATTTAATTCTAATATCCATTTTACCCTGAAACAGTGCACGCACTGTGGCAGAGAACCATATCTAAAGTAAAACAGTTGCATTTTTATGTGAAAGGCATAATACAGTTTTTCTTACTGGAAAGGTGTAGAAATAGGAACAATAATACTGCATGTGAAATGTTTCTAACAAGCATTTTGAAGTTCTTGTATGAGGCTACAGTAGAAAATATGGTATTACAGACCCAACAGCAACAATGCTGCCTCTGTAAATTTTCTCTTGCTTGGTTTTCAGGGCAGCACTAGGACAGAATCAAAAGCAAAAAGTAACTAGCATGGGTTTCCTTTTAGCCTCTCTGTTGCAGAACAAATCCCCTGTGAAGTATCCTAACCTTTGGAGGGGCATCTGAAGCTACTGCAGACTCTGGGACTGCATCCAGGCTTGTCTTGTTCCCTAAATAAGCCTACCACATGGGTTAAAGGGCCATGAGAAAAAGCAAAGATGGAAAACTTGGCATTTCATTTATCATAAAAAACAACAAAATAACTGCTCCAACTATTTGGTTTTGTTAAGTGAAGCAGTTCAGGTCGTGTCCCATGCAGTGGGGTTCTGAAAACGACCAGCACAATTTGCAAACAGAGGATCAGGAAGATGTAAGCAAACAGAGGACTGCACACAGATTCCAGTACACCAAAACTAAGGATTTTAGCACTCTGCTGCTTGGAGTGTCCTCTGTAACATCACTGGAGAGTTTCAAGGTTTCACTGCTGGCTCCAAAGAAAACTGTGATGTGCACTAAAAAATGTAAATGGATATCACACAGGACTCAACTACCCTCTCTGCAAGCTACCAAAATCCTATACTCCCATCTTCTGCACTGTCACACTCCCTGCTTCCAGTTCCTTTTCTATACTCAGTTGACTGTGAGTCTGGAACTTGTTTTACTCTCAGCTTTACTAGGAACACACATCATAAGGCTCTGGTCTACAAACCAACCAACTCCTTTTCTCCTCCCTCCAAGAAACCGTGCCCTAAGGAACATGGAGCTTGTGAAATCACCTGCAGAGCCAGGTAAGATGTGAAGACAGCGGTATCTTCAGCACCTTAGAAAGAGCTCTGTGCCTCAGGGTTTATCATCACTTCTTGGAAAATACTATTTTAGGTAGCTAACAGAAGATATGATGGGAGGTCCAAGAGACAGTGCCAGGATCACCCACCGCTCCTGCCTATTCTCCTTATCAGCTGAACAGATCCTTGTATGAAATAAGTCATTGTGAAATCCAGTCTCAATTTACCCAAATAAACTGGCTCCTACTTCCTATGTAGGGTGCCTGTTTCCCATAGATTTTGATGGGAAATTTTGGAACCTGACCAATTATCTGGTATTGGGCCTTATTTGCAGTCCCAGTCCTGTAATGTAACACAGCAATGACTAATGGATTTTATTTCTGCTTTTATTGTACCCCATACTCCAGAAAACTCATCAGTGGGATAAATAAAATGGCTTGCCAGAGATCCCACAGGAAGTTTGCAACTGAGCTGGAGAGTGAAGCCAGGTCTCCCACATCCCATTCCAATGGCACCAGGCCATCCACCTGATCCCAAATGGTGTTATGCAAAATGAGGATCCGTTCTGATGTGTCTCCAGCCCTCTTCTGTTTCCTAGCACTCAGCCACCCAACACCTTCATACTGACCTCCTTTTTGGCAGCTTCGAGTTGTCATAACCTCTCCCTCAATCTGAGGCAATGAAGTGATACTCAAAAGAAAGCAGCATGAATTCTGCTCAGCCTAAGATCCAAGCTAGGCTCAGAGCAAGAAGCATCTCTGTCCACAAGCAAACAGTGTTTAAAAAGAGATTAAACACAAAACTAACACCCCTAATCCCAACTGCTTGGTGGGCACACGCATCCTTGCTGAAAAGAGAAACTGTGGATGCTGCCAGCTGTATGGCAGGTCTGGGCCACAGGTCCTAATCCCACACTCAACACGCTGGCATAGCTCCCTTCTACCATGATGGATTTCTTGCCGTCTTGTTTAAAGAAACTGGTTAGAGTAAAGGACTAGTATGATCAGCTAACCAATATGTTAAGCCATGTGCTTATATATAACTGCTCGACTCAGCTGCAATTTGCCACATTCCATCGTCATGTTTACAAAGCAAAATGACACGTTGAGGACCATGTGTTGCTTCTAAGATGATTTTTAAGGTGAAGAAGGCCCCTGGCTCATACTGCATCTCGCTGTCTCACTACATATCTTAAACATGTATATCATTTCCTAAGTTCATGTCTCTTCTGTGAGGGTTAAAAAAAAGAGATCTACAAAGCCAGCACAGCAGACTGCAAAACAAGTTCCAGTCAAACCTCAGTGCATTATGCAACACAAATTGTATTATTTCTATCGACACAGCATCCATGTTGGGTTTTTCTTAATAAACAGAATTACAGAGCACATGGCTGGAGCCAGAAGACACTAAAATGCTAAAGGCATTTGGCATCCCCCTGATCCCCACAGGCATTTGGAAGAAATTCCATTTCCCAGTGAAGTCAATGGGAAAATCATTGCACTTCAAGCAATCCCTAAGTCAACAGGAGTCTTGCCCAAGCAGGACTGAAAAATCACCCAGTTAGTTTTGAAACTCACACTGGACCCTGGATGTATGGCCAGAAGACTTACTTTTATTTCATCTAAACTACAATGCTACAAATTGCACTCTCTAGTTTGACTTAAGGAAGGTTGATACCTAATTTGCATCAGTTTTTCTCCCTAATGTACTGATTTAGTTGCAGGATAAGGATGAGTTCTTAGCAAAGGAAATGGGAGTTTATGGGTGCTTAGCGCCTCACAAAATGAGGCTCAGAGCAGAAAGCCTAGAAACGGGTGGTTCTTAGTTTAGAAATCGAACACTGCTTGTCACCAAGCGAAGATGGAGGATGCTGCACAGAGCCAGATTAATGCAGCTCTCTTTTAACGTTTTAATAATAAAACAATGTTTTCGTGGCAGCCGATCAAGAAATTTCTCTGTAATCTTTTATGTACTGACAACATATCAATGATGGGCATAAAAACTCTCGCAATTAGCCTTGGTCAATCCATTAGTGTAGCTGAAATTGTTCTTTTTTGTCAGATTGGCAATTTTCCACTGGGTCATGGAGTATAAATCACAGAGTTTCTGTGACGCTGCCAATACGTGATTACTCTTCTCCCTGAAGAAGCATGTGGAAAGCATCCTAAGATTACTGCTATTTTATATTTATCAATTTATACTTCTGCATTACCATCTTCCTTCCAAACTACTTTATGTGAGGTACAACCCCCAATACATGATGCAGTCTCAACACAAACCCTCCTAGACGTCACTTTGATGTGCATCCAGAAAGTACAGATCCAAGACTTCTAGTACCAACAGCAGCAGTTTAAGAAATTCTCATTATCTCTTTTTTTTTCAGGAATTCAATGTAAGGTACAATAAACAGAAATGGTCTGTCTTACAAATCGGTCCTAGAGCCAGAAAGCCCAAGGCAACATCAGACTGTTTGTTTGATCTTTTTGGCTGATTCAAAATACGCCCTTCTGACATCCAACTGCAGAGATAGACGTCATTAAGTTTTCAACTTTGATCTATTGAAGGGAATATAAGTAACAGCCTGCAAGATCCTGTTTTGTTTAGTTGGTTTTTTTTTTCTTTTACCTAGATGTGATCAACCATCTGTAAAGGAGGAGGAGTATTCCCTCATCTGTCTCAGGAAAAACACAGGACACACATGGCAGATGCCCTCCTCTCACCATGTCTAAAAGGTGCAAGGAAAGCCAACACACTGCACTGTAACATCCTCCATCTGAGCACCACACCAAAAGCCACAAAGTCAACAGCAGATTTTCCAATAGATTGAGCTCTGCAGCAATCTAAGGCTTCTCCGTGAAAGTATTACTGCTAATTTAGAACATTTCTCCACTTAACAAAAGCTGCTCTGCTGGTTCTTAATCACAGGCCGTTAAATTCACATGGCCTAAGGGGACCCTGCGGTGGATGCCCTTAAACCATGCAAAGAAGCACACTCAGCCCTGCCTTTCCCCACGCAGGGAGATGACTGGGGGAAAATCTGTTCCCGGCGGGAGGCAAACATAATAGGTGATGAAATGAACTCTACCTCCCACAGGACAGACTGGGAGAGGTGAAGCGCGAGGAGAAAAACCACCCTGCTAAGCCGGAGAGAACTTCACAGGCAGAATATGGGAAATGCCCCCGTTTCGGTGGTTTAGTCTGCTCGTAGTAAAACTGTACTCTGCACACTAGAGCTGCCTACTTCCTGGGGCTGGGCACGCTTTCTCCTTCAAACGGGGTCAGACTCTGCTCTCCCTCATGCCAAGGCAATTCTGCCACTGCCGATGGGTCCCAACCACAGCAAATTAATACAAGACCCCTATTTTCTGATGTAAAGAGAGAATTTTCACGTTGCCTTTTTGGACATGCAGCACTGGGCTCTGACAAACTGGCCTGGATTTTCTTTTTTGAATACAATGTTGGGTAGTGTTTTTCTTTAAGTAATATGCCAGATGGTCTGGGGGTGTGGTTTCTAATTTTATGAAGGGGGTTATCAGTCATCTCTGCGCTACAATATAGAGACCAAATCTGTCAGAATAGAAGAAAAACCTGCCCACTCTGACTTACAGAACTTACTTTTCCAATTAAAAATATATGTTTTGCACTGCAGGAGAGAAAATGACTGTTCTTCCTTCATTTTCCACAGATTCCGCCTTGTTACTCAGGAATATCAGACATTTTCTGCATGCGTGCCTGATCCTGCAAACTCTTAGCCTACAAGATCATTCTTAATTCTCAAGTCCACCCACAGAGTTTAAACAGGGCTACTCACATGCAGAAGGACTGGCAATACCATACACTAAAATGAGGGAGAGAACAGTCGCTGGAGTGATTTTGCTCTGAGCCTGAGTTTAAAATGAGTATATGCTATAAAAGAGAAATATACCTACTGTACGAGCCCTCACTGAACTAGCCCTTCCCTAAAGGCAATTGCAGCCCTAAGGAAATGCATTTCATAAATATCAATTTATCAAGGACAACCAGAAAGCATTTGATTTGCTAATTGAAGCTAATACTAAATATAGTAAACAGGCCTGATCCTGTTTACTGAAGAAAGCATGGCAATTTCAATGTTTGATTAGTCACTCTGATAAGCCCTTAGTAAGAATTACTCATGACAGTAAAGCCCGTGGGACTGTGCCCAGAAAATGCAAATGCTGGTAGTAAAGACAGGTTACTCTGAAAAGACCCAATCGTGCCTGTGCAGCTCAGAGTGCAGCTCAGCACATGGGCAAAGGGAGCACTCACATAAGCAAGAACCTGGTGAAAGGCTGAATATTTTGGTTTTATTTTTTAATATTGTTTGAGTTCATGTCTTAAGGAATTACTGTTTCATGTTGAAATAGTAAAATATTTATGTGTCTTGTTTCTCTAATGGTTTCTAAACTGACAAATTGCAAGAAAACAGCAAAATGAAATGGTAAACTCGTGGCTGACCTCTTCCATTTTTGGTCTTGCATCCCCTGGTTAATATTCGCCACGAGGTAAATAATTATGTTCCGAAATAAATTTCTCTGCTCCGTCTACCAATTTGTTCAGCTCCTGCCATTGCTCCACTTGTCTGCTTGATTCTCTTGCAATGGAGCCACGTGAACTTTTGCTCTCCTTCTAAGTGGTATTTAAAAATGAAGCATGTGCTTCTTACACTGAGGTATTTGAAAAAATAACGTATTCTGGTAGCCACAGAACCCTGACTCAAAGGCAGAAGCAGCATGCATTATTTTAAAATGTGAGCACTCAGATCCAGCCCTTCTGCAACAGCAGCCAACTCTACTGAGTTCACTGGGAAAAAGATTTTAGCAGTAGTGCACTTGTCTGGTCCAAAACAGCCTTCACTGGGGAAACACGTACTGCATACCCCTTCCCTTCTTTAATTGCAGTGATAAACAACAATGATGAAGCACCACTCTCCAAAAATACTAAACTGATGCCAATCGGGTAAATAGTAATTAGCCTCTATGGTAAAGTGTCCGTGCTTCTAGAGAAATATTCCCATTTTCAGTGTAATGGGAAACCGTTTGCTCCCTAATCACATGAAAATTGAAAGCTAAGCCTGCAAAATAATGCATTCCTGCTCATTAATAGAGCACTGTACAAAAAGCAGTGAGTTAAAACTCTAGAAGGATCCTGCAACACTGAATGAAGGTGACTGAACCTGGCACAGACTTTACAAAAATACACAGCATATGGTTTAAAGGGAGATGGCCCAGTACCAATGCAAGCAAGAACTCATTCATTTTTCTCCATGTTTGTGCTTCAGCAAGATGCAGGTTTCCCTTGGGCATATCAAAGGTGCCGGGTTTCTCTCTCAACTGAGGGAAGAAATCATCAGGAACAAAGTGCATCAAGTGAAACCAAATGATAAGAAGCCCAGCAATACAGTGCTTCTAGATCTGATTTACTGCTGCAACGATCTGTTTAACTGCACGTTCTCACTACACCCATTTGCATGCCTAATGATGCAGAAAATAACCCTGCACTATTTTCTTTTGGAGAAAAAAAAAAAAAGTGTATTTTTAAGGGTAAGCTTCATATGCAGGTTCCTGTTTAAAATCAGCGCGGACGGTTTATTTTCCTTTTAATAAAGCCCAGCGCTTGAAGAGACATTACTTCATTCATAAATATTGTTTCAAATATTTTAAATACCTCTAGGACAGTAGTTTAAAGATAACAGAGCATTGCAAGACCCAACAACAAACCTCAGGGAAATTCCTCTCTCCGCTTGAGAGACGCAGAGGTCTGAAAACACGGGGGGTCACTGGGTCCCTCTCCACCCTGAACCCCCCGAAGTTTTAATTCCCGATCGGCCCCTTGGCCGCCGCCTCCCTTCTGAAAAGAAGCCCAGCACCGAGGCCGGGTCCCCGCACGGGTCTCGCCCCGAGGTGCGGGGGCCGGAGCGGGGCGCGGGGCCGCCCGCGGTGCCTCCCCCCGGGGCGGCGGCGGCCGACGGCGCGGAAGGAAGGAGGACGGGACTAATTTACCTACGGAGTCAATCTCCAGGAGGCGCTGCAAGTCGCGGATGCTGTGGATCTCGCTGTGCGCCAGCCGCTCGATGAGCTCCTGCGGGATCTCGGCCTCCTTCAAAGACACACACACCGCGGGTCACCGCGCAGTCCCCGCCAGGCGCGCCCGCAGCTCGGGGCGCTCGGCGCGGCGGGGCTTTGGGGGTTCAGGGAGGGCGCGGGGCGTTCGCGGGACGCGTTTGGACTAAGCAGGAGAAAAACCCACGCACATACACACCCACCCCCGCTCCACGGAGCGCTCCCGCCGCCCCCGCCTGCGCGCCCGACTGCGCCACGGCTCGATCCCGCACGGCCCGGCCGGGGCGGCGTGTGCCCGGCAGCGATGTGCCCCCGCGCCCCGCTCGGCGGCTGGAGCCCACCCCGGGCAGCGGCTGCCCAAGTTCGCCCGAGCGGGTGCCAAGTCCCCCGCGGGCGCGGGCTCCCCCGACCCGGGGAGGAGGAGGAGGAGGACCGCGTCCCACGGGGCCGCCGCCATCCTACCAGCGCCCACGTCGCGGCTCCCAGTGCCAAGCAGACCCGGTCCCGGGAAAAGTTACAGCCGCCGTGCAGCGCCGAGCACCGCGCTCGCCCCGACCGCGGCCACCTGTAGCAGCCCCAGGACGCGGCTCCGCGCCCCCTCCGTCCCCAGCGGCCGGGCAGGCTGGCTGGCTCTCGGCTGCTCCGGGGGAGCTTCGCAAACCGGGGAGGGGCGTTTTGGGGCGGGGGGGGGGATTCGCCCAACTTCTGCCCTCGGCACTGGCGGTGCCCGCGGTGCAGCGCCGGGCGCCGCGGGGGCGGCCGCGCCGGGCCGGGCGGCTCCGCGCACCCTCGGCTCCCACACAGCCGCAGCCCGCTGGCACCCGCGGGGCGTGGATATTTTACCATGCATTTATAATATATGTAATATATGTATTATATACATATATATAATTTTTTAAGGGCAGCCAGTAGCCTGGGAGCGGAATGCACGGTCATTCCCCTTCGCCTCTGCCATGCGTGAAATGGCAACTTGCTCCCAAGCCTCGGCCGCGCAGGGCCCGGGGCAGGGCAGCGCTGCCGGCGGGGCCGGGGCGCGGGGATGCCCGCGGAGCCCAGGTGGGCAGCCCGCTCCCTCCCCGCTGCCCTCCGCCCCGGCTCGCCCCGACCCCCGGCTGCGGCCGTGCCCCGGGGACCGGGAGCGCAGGGAGCCGCTCTCACCTACCTCGGAGAAGGTAAAGGACAGGTAGCCAAAACCTATCAGCAAAACGCAAGCCCAGGTCCTCATCGCGGTCTAGTGCACTTTAGACACGGAGGGAAGGCAACGCTGATGGAGAGGAGCTGCAGGCCGGCTCCTGCCGCGCAGAAATTCAGTACCATCCCTCAGGGGAAAGGCAGCGGGGTGGCTCGGGGGTCCTCCGCATCCAGGGGTGGGTCGGGGCTGCCCGGGGCGGCGGTAGCTTAATGACGGCGCGGCCGCTGTTTGTACGTTCCCCTCGCTACGGGAGCGTGGCTGCTCTCCCTTCTGCCGCTCTCGCTCGCTCCTCTTGGCTCTTAGGACTAGACCAGCCGGTACTTCTGCATATTTGCTTAGATCAGACCAAAGTGAAACCCAAGGAGTCGATCCGGAGCGCAGCCGAAACGCCCATCACCTGTCTGGGGCGGCTGCCCCCCTCTCGCGGGCGGCGCTGGGGCCGCCTCCCCCCGCCGCCGCGGCCGCGCTCCGCGCCGGGACCGCGGGGCTGCGCTCTCCACCGAGGGCCGGCCCCCCCCTGCCGTGCCTGCCCTCCACCCGGCCCCTCCTCGGAAAGGGGAAAAATCAAAAATCTTTATTATAGATACGGAGCGAAATGTTTCTCTTGCCGAGAATGGTCCCGCTTCCCTCCCCGGCGGAAGGGGGGGGGGGGGCGAGGTCAAAAATAATAATTAATTAGGAATAATAGCAGGGAATTAAATCGGAGCAGTGTTGCAGGATCTCGCGGGCTGCCTTGGTGCAGTTCCTGCTCCACTTTGCACGGGAGAAAAAGAGAGGAAGAGGAGGAGGAAGGGGAAAAAAAAATATATATATGCAAGAAGGTTTAAATCCCAAGGGGATCGGAGACGAACTGCAACTCCAGGCGGAGAGAGGCTCCGGGCTCGCTCCGGAGCAGTGGCCGGTCTGGAGGGTGGCCCCGGCGAGGAGCAGCATATACCGCTCCCGCCCCGCCGTGCGCCGCCCCCGCCCCTCCTCCCGGGTGCTCCGGCACCAGACCCACCAACAACAAGTCGTGGGGGTGCCGGCAGCTGCGGCGCCTGCTCGAGGGCGAGGGGGCTCTGCCCACTGCGAGGGGAAAATAAGGAGCCGGCGGCGGGCAGGGGCCGGGGGGAGCAGGGCAGCCCCCGCCGCCGGCCCTCTGCGGCACCGGGCGGGGAGGCGGGCGCTGCTGCGCAGCAGCCGGCGTGTAACCTGGCGGGATCGGCCGTGTGCCCTGCCTTTACATAAGGCACAGCGGATCGCCATGGCCACGGAGCGATCGTGTGTGTGTGTGTGTGCGCGCTTTCTTACCGTTGTTATTATTTTTTAGGGGGGGGGTGAAGGGGCTTTCCTTTTGCAGAAGGGGAGGGGCAGCAGAGCGGCGGAGGGTTGTGGTGTGGGGGTTTTAACGTTGCTGTTGCAGCGCAGCCTTCACTGCGAAGGAGAACACGCACACACGGAGACACACGCACCCCTTAAGGAACACAAAATCACCCCCAAAAAGAACGAAGGCGGGGGGGGGGGAGCGGGGGGCAGCGGCGCCCTCCGCCCTGCGGCACCCGGCTGCGGCAAGCGCGGGCGCGGGGCTCCCCGCCGCGGCCGCGGGGACGCGGCGCCCCGGGGCTCCGCCGCAGCCGGACCCACCCCCGCAACCGCACCGGCACCCCGCACCCTCACCGAGCTGTCTCCGAACCCCGCAGCCGGCCCCGGTCCGGCCCCGCTGCTCCGTTGGCGTTCCCTTCGCATCCTGCCTCCCCGCTGCCCCGGCGAGAAAACTGCCCCCTGCTCCCCGGCGCAGATTGGCACAAGGTGCCTGCTGCACCCTGACATCTCCCTGAACTCATTGTGATTTAAATAACAGGCCTTTCTCATCTAAACAAAGCTTCTTAATAGCAGATGCAAAGAATTCAGCTCATCTGAAAATCCAATAGCATTTAAGTGGATTAACTGCAATAACACAACTGAGGAGTGATACTATCCTTCATGGAAGACAATAGACTGTAAATGCACAGCCAGGGAGACTTATCCTTTCATCTCTGAATTTCCTTCAGCATTTCAAAAGCGAATGCTTTCTAGAAGCCCTGAAGGGGTTTGCACGCTACTGGCTTGGACATGCTTCTAGGAAACAACCTGTGCTTTAATGGGCACTTTGCAATTGCATAGAAGTTCCCACCAAAACAGAAGTGGCCTTTCAAGTACATTTAATTCTCTCTCATGATGTCATGTAGGCTCACAGGGTGGTCTCCAGGACCACAAGGGGGGGAAAAAAGGTGGGGGTTGAAAAGAGAGAAAAGGAAAAGAGATGTAAAAGATTTGGAAGCACTTTAAAAAGCAGAATGCTGCTACTTTTTTTTTTTTTTTTGAGACAGAAAATGCTGAGCCAGTGTGGAGCCATTCTCAAATGCCTCCTGATATAAAAAAAATGACCCGAGTGCCACACTGACACTGCAGCAGAGCCATCCATGCAGGGCAGGAGGAGGCAGAGCAGGGCAGGGCAGGGCACTCTCATAGTGCCATCACTTTCTTACATGGCAGAAGTAAAAAGTGATGACTTCAGTTAAAAAAAAAGTCTCATCTGCACTTATCATTTGCTGGGGTTAAAGAAACAATTCTTATGCTCTGTGTTGTCATAGTAATAAAAAAAAATAATTACCAAACAGTGAAAGAGATTCTGACAGTACTGGCTGGCTGAGCATTTACTCCTCTCCTTTCTTCCTTGGTTGGCTAGAGTGTTTGGGATCAGAAGTGCTGGGTATTTGTAGCTCTTGCAAGTGATCTTCCACTGTGAAAACCAACAAAGATAACTCCTGCTTTATCTATTGATAAAAAAAAAATCTATTCAGTTTTGATTTTTCTTACCTTCCTCTCATTTTACAAGAGACTACTGCATCAGCATCTTTTTTAAATCTGTCATTGTGGAGCTCAGATAAGCATCTTTCCTCTGGGTCAAGTTACAAGTACAAGCTACTTGGAGTAGCTTTTAACATTAGACTGTTTATGGGGATCATTGCAAATATTTGATAATAATGCAAAATATGTAAGATCCCAGGAGAGAGCGGAGACCAGGGAACATAAATAAAATTCACACAGATTCTGCAAACAACTTTATACTTGGGTTGTGTGTTTGCTTACAAAACACATTTTGTCCTTGTCTGTTGTTTGATCTAAAAATGTGTTTGTGCCCCGTAGGTCCCTACAAGCACGCAAAGGTATGGCTGAGTGAAAAACATCACACCAGTGCATGTTTGCTTCAGCGTGGCACCTTCCTGCAGTCTGCACATCTATCACACACGTGTGCGCCAGACATGAAGCAGCATCTTTTATGTAACACCTACAAGCCATGCATGAGGAAAGAGTGACAGGATGGTAGTTATAGGTTTAAAAGAAAATCAGTACAAAGAACAGAGCACCAGAATATTAGGTTTTGCACTCCTTTATTTATCTGAGAGCAGCAAGCAAGATATTGCCTTGTCTAATTTAAAGCACGTACTGTTAGAAGTCCCTCAAATGTGAGGAATTATAATAGAATTACACCATGACAGAGCGTTGAGAAGGAGGATTCCCAGGGTTTGCAAAGCACTTGGCATGGGGGAAGGGATGCAGAAGCTCTTTGACACAAAATGAAACCATTTCAGTGTCACCAATGCTTTCTTCGAACAGTGTCACCTGAAGCCAGGGCGCCCCAAATCAGGCTTCCAGCACCCACTACAGAGCTCATTTAAATCTCTGCTGGCTCAGTTGTTAGAAACTCGGGTCAAGCCATGTAGCTGGACCAACTCATGTTTCACAGACGTGTGCCAGGCTGCCATGCACAGGGGTTGTGGAAAGGTCACTGGGAGAAGTGCAGTGCAGGGATGGGCAGCAAGGTGGGCACTGCGTTACTTGGAGTCAAGTACCATGGGGGGCACTGGGCTGGCTCCAAAAAGGTACCTTCAGCCTTTGACTTCTGTTTCAGATGTCAGGCTGAAACCACACTTGCTTGGCTCTCCTGACAAGTCTTGAGGTTGCAAGAGGAATCATTTCATTGCATTTCATGACATTGCTGCTGAGGGAGTCTTGGGAAACCTGTCTGAGTGTTTTTCAGACTTGATTTTAGTGGGGATTTTGCCTCATAAATAGTCCAGTTAAAATTAACAGAACAATGAATATGGGTGAAGGGTTTTGTTGGAAGGGTGGCCTGTTTTTATTGTAGTGTTTGGGGCTTTTTTATTTTTTATTGGGTTTTTTTGTGTTTGGGGCTGGTCAAAGTGGCTCGGTATGTTCTACAGGATATATCCCACCACAAGAGCTGAGAAAGGACCAGGAGCCAAGAGTGTCCTGGCTCTGGAAAGGGACCAGGTCTCAGGTCTCAGATTTGGACCTGCACTGTTCTGTGTCAGTGCCACACAGTGTATAACGAAGGAAAAAAGTTCAGAACATAAAATCCAGAAAGCTGGACAGGAATCTGACCCACTTTGGGTAGTTCCTCTCTAGTTTTGAACATTTTTTTTGGCCTGTAGCTTCAGAGGGGCATGTGGCCATGGTGGGGAGAGGTTGTTTTCCCACTCTGCAGCTCAGTTCCTGCCTACCTGCATTAACAGGCACGAGGCTGGCACAGGTGCAGATGACATACAGGCAAGGAATTACAAATGCAGAAAGCACTGATGGCAAACACGCCATTCCCTTTCCTGAATCTTAGCCCATAAAGAGCAACAAGGAAAGCTGCAAGAAGAACAAGCAAGGCAGTTACTATTCCAGCTGGTACACCTACAAACATGATTTCCTTCTTTCTCAGCTCTTCCTTTTGGATCCTTGCACTGGCTCTGTCCTTCTGGCTGAGCTTTGTTGTCTTTGAAACTTTTGTTGGTGCAGCTTTCCAGATGCTTTCACGGTTGATAACTTTCTTAAATAGTCATGAGATGCAAATCTGCTACAAGATTTCAGCTAAATGGAGTGATCAGAAGTGGTGTGGAAAAGATTTATGATGTCCTTTCCCTAAACACAGAGGGTGGCTATGGCCAACATCCACCTACGTGGGTTTACTCTTAAAGCCACAATATTTCTGAAGATGCTTTGCCCTACAGTGAATGGGGCAGGGTCCCTCTAGAGCTGATCCTCCACCCAAAACTGCCCTTTTGACTTCAGAGGGGGTTAGACCCAACTCTCCCTGGAGAAATGGTTTGGTCTAATAGCTGAGAAAGACAGTTAGTAATGCTCTTGTTAATGTGCTCTTCTCTCCCCCCTCCCCAGCTGCTTCTTACCCAGGAGGTTCAGCAGCACAGCCGAAAGCAAGGGGCTGTTTGACCTTCCCTGCTGCTGGAGCCACTGCTGAGTGACACAGTTCACCTTCAGGGCTGGAGCACAAACTGGCAGCCCTGCCAGCCTGGGTAGCAAGATACCATGTTTAGGCATTAAACTAGGGCACTTGCATACCAGCACTGGCCGCTATTTTGGTGGGTGTATGAAGCTGATCCCTGCTCCCCACCCCTGTGGGACAACAGAGCTGCTGTGAGTGCAGGATATCCTCTGCCTAGTGGATAAACCTAATAAAATGGGCTGTGTTTTGTCAGGAATACGTAGTTCATCCAGCTGAATGACTGTAAAAGTACCAACCCAGCTTAAGGTATGCTGATACACATTGTAAATGAGAGCAATACACACAGGGCTCAGCCCCTGGGGTCCCATGTGTGGTGTGCTTATGTCTCCTTGGCAATGTGGGTGTAAAGCTCTTCTGACTCAAATCAAAGCCAGTTGCAGTGATTCTGTGGAGACCATCCAGGATGTAACTCAGCCATGCTAAGTACCATAAAATTGTGATATTATTCTTCATTGTTTGTAGCTTGGAGGCCTGTAGAGGCCTAGCTTGGAGCAGTCAGTTTTATTAAGCTCCATCCAAACACAGTGAGATAGTTGTTCTTCCTGAAGAATTCATATTCGTTCTCAAAGTGCAAGCCGCCCCGTTTGTGTTCTTGTATCTATGCAACCTTGTTGCTCTTACAACATTACACATTTGTCCTGTGAGATTCCCTCCCTTACAATAAAAACTCACGAGAATGATACACACATTTTCAACTCTGTGCACACCAGAGACTGCAGGATCCAGCAGTACCAAAAGGACACAGGAGATATGGAGGCTGCTGTAGTGGAACTGCTAATTTATTTAAAACTGCAGATGTTTGTAATGG